GACATAGCTGCTGGCCTGAAAGGGACTGTAGGTATTTAGTTTTAGTTGGGCTAGGGTAATAAAAGCCATATCTTGAAGTTGTGTTATCACTTAGAGAGAGAGATCTTTTTTCCAAGATTTAGGAAGATTAAAACAAAAAAAATTTGACAAATTTTATTCTCGTGGGAATGAATCACCTCTGAAAGAATAATGGTTACTCTGTTGATTTGTTGCCTAAATGATCTGACCAATGCTGAGAGGTGTGTTCAGGTCCCCCAATATTATCGTAGAGCAGATGCTTCTTCTGTCACTCTGGAATGGGCTTTGTGGAGAGGTCTCTGCTGATGACTCTCCTTGTGTCAATGCACTCCAGTGGCTGGTGGACCATCTGAGTGGTAGTTGTGACACCTAGCCACTTTTGTGGCAGCCAAGGTTACTGTGGTGGCTGTAGTGAGCCACCCACATAGATATAATGTTTTTGGCATTCTCCTTGGTGTTGGCAGTGTGCCTGTGTGTGGGCAGAGAGTCCAGTCCCTGGCTTGATGCTGTGAGCCCCCACAGGGCCCTGAGATGCTGGCAGAGTGCCTGGTTGTGAGCAGGGTTCTGGTCCCCAGATCCAGGGTAGGGCCCTGATGTTGGTGTGCCTGGATGTGGGAGTGGTGTCCAATCCTCGGCTGTATGCCTTAAGTCCTTGGGCGGGCCCTGAAGCTCTGGGGTGTGCATGGTTGTGGGGGTGGGGTCTGGTCCCCAGCTCCAGCCTCAGGTCCCCTGGAGGGCCTGAGGTGCTGGTGGTGTGCCTGGGCCAGAAGTAATTTTTTGTCCTCTGCTTACTTCTAAAATGGGGGAAATTCCTGTGGGAACTAGTACTTGAAGTTGTGATGACAATATGTTAAGCCTAAGGTGCTTTTCAGCCTTTCAGTTGAAACAGTATTTTTTGAAATTGAATCTCACATGATGTGTGAGGCTTTGGGCTGGTTTTGTTCTATGTGTTGGGTTATATAGAGAAACTAAAAACACATGGATTATGGATTGACAAGGACAAAATACTTCTTAATAGTTGGTTGTGGGATTCTTAAGTGTGGCTTTTAATACTATTTTTAAGGTGAAACCTTCCTTTGCAATTATAATTGTAGTGATTTTGGATGAAGATGGTTCAAGGAAAAACAGCACAATACAAAATTCATATTTCTAGGAACATATAATGTATAAAATGGGAACTGACTGAATTTAATGGGAAAAGTAAGAAACATTTATTTAATAATATTTTATACCTGGGCTGACCCTGTGGCGCACTCGGGAGAGTGTGGCACTAGGAGCACAGCAGCGCTCCCGCCGTGGGTTCAGATCCTATATAGGGATGGCTGGTGTGCTTACTGGCTGAGCGCAGTGTGGCCGGTCACAAAAAAGACCAAAAATATATATATATTTTATACCTAATTGGTATTTATCATAACTGTGAAGTATATAGTTCAGTCATCTTACTTTGTGAATAATGTTGATACCTGTTTTGCTCACTGGATGCCTGACTTGTTTTTTTGTGTTTTAAAAAAATCTTAATTTTGAAGTGAACTATATTAAATAAAGAAATGTTTTAAAATATTCTTAAACTTAACAGAAACTTTGACTTAAGAGTTCTTCCTTTCCCTTTTTTATACTTGAAATGCAAGAGAAAGAGAAGAAAATATTGACAGGGAATAACATGACTTCTCTAACACCAAAGAATTTTCAAAATTACCAAGATCTTTGAATTTTTAATAATTTATTTCATAGCCTTACAAGTATCTCTCATGTTGGAGAAATGAAAATAGGTTTGTAAAATTTAAGTTTTTAAGAATGATGCATTTAGTTTATCTGGAATTAGATCTGGCTTGTCAGGAATTAGATGTTAGAACTTAAGATAGCTAGTTCATTACCCATAACTTAAATCTCCTACTGGTTGCAAGTAATTAAAAGTGTAAAGCTTACTTTAAAAAAAAAAAAAAAAAAGTATATGCCATTTGTCATGCCCCCCACCCCCCACCCCCTTTTTTGGGGGGCAACCAGTTTGCTTGCCCTGGCTCTGGAAACTGAATCATTAATTGCCAAAGAATAAGCAACTAAAATTCTTTCTGTCACTTCATTTGCTATAGTATTTTGGATTAGGTATAATGTTTTAATAACAGGAATGATGTTTTTTTAATAATGGAGGCAATACTTATAGTATGCTTCTGTCTTGTGAAATTTCTTGGATACTCATTTTGACTAGCAACTGCATGGTAGTAAGGATTGGGAAGGAAGGAACTGGATCCTAGTCACAGCCTTGTCACTGATTGTATCACCTAACAGAAAAATCATATAACCTCTTTGTGCCTCTGTTTTCTCATCTGTAAAATGAAAACTGAGCCTCTAAAATAAAATCTCATATTTATAAGCCCTGAAGGACATAGCCTCAGTTCCTTTAGAGGAAGCCTGAGATAACTGAACTGATGGCTGGTGTTGGTTCTGTCAAGAGTTGAATCATGGAGACTGATAATCTTAGGTCTGTTACTTAACATCTTGCATATTCAGCTTCCTTTCCTGTAAAATTAGGGTAATAATGCCTATGTCAGGATTGTTTTGAAATTTAAAATTGTGAATATGTATGTAAAGTGTTGAGCCTAATGCTTGTCAGTGTAGTTCTTATTCTCTTTTCATTATTTTCTTCTGTCAATTACCAGGCAGAATTTGCTGTACAGGTGCAGGAGAATATGTATTCGTAAGTTTTCTAGGGCACTTATATGTAGTATCTTGAAACCTTGTGGGCAGCTAGTTTGTATCATATTCCTTGTCATCTTTTCCAAATGCCAACTCTTATTGTTTCCCCACTCTTGCCCTAACTCTCATCTCAAAATTGATCAACTTTTCAGGTCCCCTGATCCTCCCACTGCTGACCTCCCTCCCATCATTCTCTATTCTAGTTTTTAGATATCTAGAAACTTTCTAGGCTTGCAGGTATCTTCCTTATTCTTACAAAATGATCTCTCTATATCATTGAATCTCTGTTTTCCCCAATCCCAACTAACACACACACACACACACACACACACACACACACACACACACACACACACACACACACCTGTACCCAGTCATTTTTTGGTCTCCTGTAGAAATGGCTCATTATTTCACATCACCTCTCTCAGATTCTTATGCCTCTTTTTTTCCTACCATCTAATCATGATAGATCACATCACTAGAACTGAGTTTAATAATTTGGTATTATGTGCATGTATATCTTGTTCCTAATTATTTTTTATTTTGTCAAAATAAAATATTGACATATATTAAATAAATGTGTACAATCATATTCATTGACTGCAAGATATTGCTGACTGTAAGAAATACATCCATTTTATGGAATAATTATCTATCAATTATAAGATACCAACAATTGTAAGTTGCATTTCTTATTTCAGAGATGTTAAAATACGAGGAAAAAAATGTAACAGGATTGATGAGATATACTGTGTATACAATAGATACTGTTTTCGGTGTTAGTAATTTTTCTGTTAAAATTTCCATGTGCTGTTACTTGCATTATAGAAACTTTTCAAATTTTCTTATTTTCACAGTTTCAGTGAACTGTATTTAAATCACTGTTTGCTTCATTGCAGGTATTGTGCAAGTACAAGGCATTTTTCTCTTTGTCTCGTTCTTTCCAAATGTTTAATGTCTTCATGATTACATAGCAAGACCTTCTCTGCTTCCAAATTCCCACCATGGCACAAAGATCAGCATCATTTGAATGCTTGAGGTGGAAAACATATTTTCTGTTTTCAGCAAGGGCGAGCTATGTTGAAAATTTCTCAGATGTTCTCTCCACACATAGAATTACGTATTAACTATACTCATACTAGCTTCATGCTAATATTCTCCGTGATGTAATAGAGCCCTCTGACCTAATACTGCATCATATTGTCAGTTCACCTTATATAATTTCTTTTTTGTCTTACACAGTTTTGAAGCTCAGATTTATTTTGTCTTAGCTTCTATTTTATCTCGAGGTCTAAAGGACAAAAACCCTTAATTCTTTTTTGGTTTATTATGCCTTTTACGTCTTCTCCCCCACCCCTGTTAGTTCACTTTCTTGTTACCTCTAGAGTAATTATTTACAATTGCAGCGCTGCCGCGCCTCCCAAGCGGCGCACTATCCAGTGCGCCACTGGGCCGGCCCTTAACATTTAGTTTCTAATGTAATAAAATATCAAGGAAGTATGGTTTGGCTAGTCATTACTCATAGAGATACTGAAACTTAATTAAACTGGTTGAAATGATTATCAATTTGCTTTATGTTTACTGCACAGTGGTTCTTACCTTTGGAGTTCATACATTTCAGGGAGGAGGTTCTGTGAGCTTCTCAACTTGCATGCAGATTTTGGCCGTTAATTTTTTTGTGGAGAAAGCTTTCTGCAGAATCTCAAAGAGGTTAAAAAGAAATCTATCAGATTCTGTAGCGTTCAAGGTCACCACTGTTTCTCTGTCTGGCCTTCCTTGTGAACTTGATTGTAAATCATAAGAATCTTAGAGTATTTTGAAGCTTAAAATAAAAAAAATATGCTTGGTCTTGAGTTCTTAGTCCTGGAAATGGAAGCCTTGTTCAAGTGGCATATTACAAGAGATAATAATACTACTCACAATGGAAGTAGTGAGTATAAAGGTGGTAGTATTTTCACAAAAAAAAGAAAACTGTGGATACACATATGTTGAAAAAATATAGCTTCTATTTTGAACTTGAGTAATTAATTTCATGGTTGTGATTTAAATTTTTTTCCTAAGGAGAAGAATATATTTTGATAATAATAAATGTTACTTGATATTTGTTTGTATATATGTGTGTATGTACAAGGAGTCTTCAAAAAGTTCATGGAAAGATTTGTATTATCTTTTAATTCTATTTTCCACAAACTTTTTGAAGTATCCTCATATGTGTGCGTGTATAGGAATTACTTTTAATGTTCATGTAAGTAATGAAAATACTTGATTTTTTCTTTTTTAAATTATAGTGCATGCAAGATATGGGAAATACTAAAGCAAGACTACTGTACGAAGCCAATCTTCCAGAGAACTTTCGAAGACCACAGACAGATCAGTATCCTTTAAAACTTGTTTATTGTGGGCTTAAAAAGAATTAACTCATTTTTACAGTTTATATTTTATCTGTTAGTTTTAGGAAGATGTAAACTTTTTTATACTACTATTCATTAAAACTAGAAATTGATTTTCACTGAGCTGTGCTCTGTATACCGTAGGTATTTAAAAAGGAATTTGGTAATACATGATATGCATAGTATTTGTATGTAATTACTACTAAGTATTTTTATACTACTATTCATTAAAACTAGAAATTGATTTTCACTGAGCTGTGCTCTGTATACCATAGGTATTTAAAAAGGAATTTGGTAATACATGATATGCATAGTATTTGTATGTAATTACTACTAAGTGCGAAATGTTATGACTGATTCTTTTTGATTGATCTCCATCTCTTGATTGAAGAGTATATGTTGTTTATTATTTTAGACTATTATTAGAGATTTGATTTGTGAACATCCTAAGTATTTTTAAAGTAACTTCTGTAAGGATATTCTTTGATCACCTTTATGTAGCAATTGTAGTTATGTGAAGCAGTTTGGCAATTATGCATTTACAAGGTAAATTACATATTTAGTTAGTGTAAATGTAAGTACTAAATAAATTATGCTAATATTTATACTGACATTCCATCTTTGACACAGGTTGCAAAACTGCTTGACAAATCTGCCTTTATGAATGGATATTTTCCCGTAGGAATTTTATTTTAGTCAGAATGTTTTCCATATTTGTTGAAGACAAAATTATTTGATTTTATAGGATTTCTAAAACTCATATTGAAGTTTGAGAAAGCATCTCAAAATTGTGCTGCTTTACAAATAAGATGATCTAATTAATTGTAGGTATTTAGATTCTATCTAAAGGTAACATTTGTAGTTTTGACAATAAAATGTAGTTTCTTAAAGATGTTTATGTATTACCCATTTGTACAGTAAAACAGTTTGTGTGGCCAGTGAAAAAACAGCGATCTTTTCTCACACAGGCCATTATATATTTATTTTCATATTTGGACAAAAACTCTTAAGTTATAATTGAAAAGTGAATAATTTGCATTTCGCCTTTTCTGTTCCTGTTTCCCCCATCCACTTCCCACAAATTATTAATTTGATATCCAAGGCTACTTTTGTTAAAGAAAGATCCTAGGGTAAGAGTGGGAGATACATTTCAGGTATAAAAAAATTATATGAGCAGAAGTATGAAGATGTAAGGAAACATGACATTTTAAGGTTTTGATGTGACAAGATTTAGGTTTTGTGGGGCAAGTGGCAGAAGAAGCTTGAGAGGTATTTTGGTCCAGACTGTGAAGGGTTTTCAGTATCATGTAGAGCAGTTTGGACCTGATTTCATTGGACCAAGAAATTGAAGTGTTTGAAAACCCATGAAGGATTTTGAAGCAGGAGAAACTTTAGAAACATTAACTCCTACCACAGGGAAGATTAGTTGGAGGTGGGAGGAGATCCTGGAGGCAGAGAGACCATATAGAATACTAGTACAGCCCCCAAATGAGCAGTGATGAAGATCTAAATTAGTAGTGGCATTGAGAATGGACAGGAAGGAGTTAGAAAGATTGGAAAGAAATTGGGGAAGCAGGAGCAGTTGAGCTAGGTTAAGATTGGCTTTGATTTTGAGGAAGGCACTGAGATGACCCCAGAGTTTCTAACTTGGGTGACTGTCAAGCTTATTCAGTAAGAGAAGGAATTTATTACCAGATGGAAATTTAAGGATTAGAAATGAAAGATAATAACCGTACTTCATTACTTTGGGCAGATTGAGGTACCTGTTAGACATATGCACAGAATTACCCATTTGGTAGCTAGTAACGTGAGTCTGGACCCTAGAAGAAAGCAGGAAATACAGATTGGAGAGCTACATAGCATGTAGGTGATTTAAGGTGTTGGATGATTATGTTTACTAGGGTGGTGGTCCTTTACTCGTTTTTGGGTTTTATTGAGAATCTTCAGAATGTTCTTTTCTTCTCCTCTAAAAAATGAAGCCTATGGCAGAACCTGAGCAATAGAACATGGTAGAAGGAAATACAGCCAAGCAAAGTCGTCCTAGTGGTTGTTATCAGCTGCATGCTGGTTGTATTAGTTTATTCTCCCGTTTTTGCTTTCCACCCACAAGCCTGAGCTGATATGTAAAACCCCACAAATTGAAGAAGTCCCCTTTTCTGGAAGTTTGTGCATATGTGGGGGGATTTGTGTTGGGTTTTTTTTTTTTTTTTTACTTGAATATTACAGGGTAAATTACTTGAGGTTCTTGAAAGTTTGGGTTTTATCCTTTATGTGGTATCCCATAGGTAAAAGTAGCTTCCAAGTTGTTTAATTCATCACACTGATTCCATGTTGTTTTCAAATAAGTCTGAAAGATATTCACAGAAGGACAATATGTAGCTTTTTGGTGTTAACAAAAAGAGGACCATAGGATCTGCTAAAAAGGAAAGAGGAGATTTTATTTTCCAGAAAAAACAATCTTCAGATTGGGGGAACGCAGCCATGGCATGACCAAAGATAAGCACTCATCAGAGGAAGGGAAGGAGGCTGATATTTATGCCTCCAGATATCAGGTTTACATTAATATTCAGTGAGCTTGAAGGAATGCTATGAATATTTGTAAAGGAGGCAATACTTGAGCAAGGTGAATGATCATATGTGTAATTGTAAGGCACGAAGGTGCTATTGAGCAATCTCCACAGGCTGGCTGAGGCTGGTGTGTATATGGTGCCTTCCAGGAGTGGAATGTCCATAGAGTTTGTTGTCTAATTGGAGTCACTGTGGGCCTTTGGAATGAGAAGAGAGATTGGTATCAGGCACTAGGTGTCCTGCAAAGGCCAGTAAGGAGATTTCTCAGCCAAGATTAGGCCTTTTTGCTGCCTTTGCTTAGTTACAGAAAAAAACTTCATAACAGTGATATACATATAGACTTGTAAATTGAGAAATGCATGTCTATCCCCTCCACCCCACTGTGCCCATTTGGTTCTTTTTAGCAATTTGGATGTCTCTTTTAGCCATACAGAGTCCAATCTGTCTGTCTTTTAGGGTATATTTTAACATTAGTATCCTCGTATATTGAATTCTTCTATGTACTATTTTGTTTAGGTTGGTAGGAATACTATTTCCTAAGTAATTACCACAAATTTTATGATGAACCTTAGAGAAGTTAAGGGTTAATGAGATAGTGTGTTATTAGTTCTGGCATTTTGGCTGATCTATTTTAAAGTATTTGGTTCTTGCTAGAAATTTAAGGAATGATGACATATTTATAGTGAATTGATTGGTGTCTGGTATTGGTAAATTCTCAACCTTTGACATAGTAAAGATTTGATACTGGAAACAACAGCTGCAGTAGTTTTACTACTTAGTAAGAGTTTGCCTCATCCTTTTTCTCAAAATAACCCAATGAGATAGAGCATAATATTTTTTTTCCACAGGGACGGATGGTCCAAGAGCTATTAAGAAACTTCCCAAAGCCTCCATACTTTTCCACCTAAATAAGGGCACTTGAATATTATTTAATGATGATAGTTTGAGTACATTTAGCATGTCCACATTTCAGTCTTGATGGCTTTTAAAATGGATAGGCTTATATTTTGGCATTCTTTGCAACTAGATCATAAGATCTAGATGAAAATTTCAACTTTTCAGTACCTGTTAAGATTCATGCTAGGCTTTCGGGTTATGTGTATGTTTGCTATTGTTAGCTCAAGCATGCTTATCTATCAAACTAAGTATTACTTCTTCCAAAGCATTTGCAAATTTTGGTCATATTTATATGAGATATTGCTCTTTCATTGTTCACAAAAAGATAATCTAATGGTTATTGGGGACTGTTTAAAGAGGGACTTTGTTTAAACATATTTGAGGTAGATGATTACTGATGTTAAGAGCATAAGATGATAACTCTTGGACCACAAGATCAACCCTCATGTAATGTAATAGTATAGCCTTTAAAAAAATTACCTTGTTATGATAACAACACTTTTATCATTTCTTCTTTTAATTATGAAACACTGTGATTTGTAGGGTTTATAAGGAATACTAGTAAGCAAACCAGTCTTCCTGCCTTCCTGGCTCCCTCCGTCCCTTTCTTCATTGCTTTTTGAAAAGCCTAACATTTCTGCACTTTATAGATTTAAATATAGTCTTCTTATCCCTAGAGGCAAGTGGAACTAAACTGAGTTAAACTCGTACAGTATGGGACCTCATTGCATTCTTAGCAAGATTTGTCACTTTTAAAAGCTTTACAATTTACAAAAGTTATTCAGAAACTGCTGTGAAAATGTAATTTCTCATGTGGGATGTGGTTAATTATAGGCTGCATGTGCTAGTGCATGACAAATGATAAAGCTTTACATTAAGCTTTTCATTATTAGAATACTTCATCTTATCTAAAAACTTTAATTACTTCAGTTCCATGAAATCTATTGTGCACCAAAGCTAATCAGCAGTTCGTCTCCTTTGAGCTTTTTAAAGTTTTATTGCTGTCACTGGTATGTGTCTGGAACTGGAAGATTTTGTTCTTTGGAAGTAGACATTATTTTAATTGTCTTTCAAATGGTATCTTTAAAGAAAGGGAAAAGTTATTGCTGTCACTGGTATGTGTCTGGAACTGGAAGATTTTGTTCTTTGGAAGTAGACATTACTTTAATTGTCTTTCAAATGGTATCTTTAAAGAAAGGGAAAAGAACTTAAAATACAAATACATGTTAAAAGATAAATCATGTATAATGTTAAAACTTTTCTGGGCATTTATAGTGCCAATTGCTAGTTTGGGGACAGGGAAAATTAGGGGTGCTGTACAGAATGCTTTGTAACTAAAGGGAGGGGAAGATTCTAGGATATTTTGATATTGTTTACTTACTAAATCCCAAATTAGCCACTTAAACGTGAATTGTTATTAATATCTTCCTTACCTGATTCCCTGCAAATATTATTGTTTTGTTTCTAATTTTTTTATTATATTATTGATCTACATGTCTCAAATGACATCTGGAGACTG